GGCAGAAACACAGTGACCCCATTTTATACACATCGACTGGTTGGCATACCAGAAGGACAGAATTCTCACAATACATTTAGAAACACCTCTCTTACTCATTTTGTCAAATAACTTATAATGATTGACACGGTCAAAAGCTTTTGAGGCATCAATAAAACTCATTAAAACTGAGGAGTTCTTATCTCTATACGTATTAACAATTTCCTTTAAGGAATATATGGCCATATCTGTGCCATGTTTTGGTTTAAAACCAAATTGATTGTCAGTAGAGGGGATAACGTCCACAACTCTGCTCAACAGGATGCTTTCAAAAACTTTAGACAGTACACTGGCAAGGGCTATTGGTCTGTAGTTATCAGAGCAACCAACCTTACCAGACTTATCCTTGATCACCGGCACAAGCAAAACAGATATCATTGAGTCCGGAAGGAAGCCATGAATTAAAAAAGAATTAAAACATATACCAAGTAGGGGGGCTAACCTCATGCTGGCATATTTAATGTGCTCAGCAGTGATGTGATCCAACCCACTTGCTTTATTATCTGCTAACTTATTTATTGTGCATGATACCTCATGTGAAAAAATTGCCTTAAAATCAGCACACTCAATATTGTCAGACATATAAATATCACTTTTAACACAATTAAACAAGGTCATGTAGTGCTGTCTCCACATCTCTGCAATATTCTCAACCCCTGATACACCATCTACAGTGCAAGGGGGGTGGTATACTACATTTGTTAAGACACTTTACCTCCTTCCAAAATTCAGTAGTGTGGTTATCCATTACCTTCTCGGCCATAGATTCTGCCCTCATAGCCTGCTAATTTTTATTAATAATTTTTTTTTTTAAATAATTAACACTGATTGTCATTCATTGACTATTGCAGATTAATAAGCTTCCTCAACAGTTTTAAAAAGAAATTTGTACATTTTATGGCTTTGTTTTTGGAGACGAATGCAGACCATATCAGTCTATGTAAAATATCTAATTTGCACTGGTTCACCTCCATTCATCAGCAGAAAGAATTGCCAAATGTTGAATCAGCCACTTGTAGTTAATAGTTAACAATTTCCCTCAAAGAATTATCATTTTCTTCCTAGTGCCAGCTCACATTTGCTGCGTGATAACTTTCCGCAGGTGTCTTACCTGGCTAACGTGGTGCGGCTTGGCCAGACACTAGAATCCTCCTTTAACCAGTGGGCCTGGGACCTGGTTTTGAGGCTAAAGCTCCATGCCAATGAAAGAAGTCCTCAGGATGCCTGGTGCCCGCTTCCCTCTTCCAGCGCCCCCAGTGTGCCTGAGATCACAGACTCTCCCGTCATGCACCCTGTTTTCAAGGCAGTCAAAGCTGGCATCCCTATTGGCTGTTTTCTGGCTTTTGACATGACAACCATTGGGCACAGGTTTGGAAGGAATATTACAACCCAAATATTCTGATACTGATTCATCATCAGTAACGGTCTGGATGAGAATCCAAGTCTAGTAACATGAATTCCTTTGAAATGTTTTTCATGACAGTTTGGAGAAGCTTTGCAGTGATGGAATGTCTCTGCTGAAGACTCTGGTTCAGTCCCGTCATCTCAAAGCTGTAGTGCATATACTGGAAAACATCCTTCCTTTGGTCTACCACTGCCAGTTCTATCTGCTCAAGAATGAACAGTTAAGAACATTTATGCTTAATTATTTTCACTTCCTGTCAGACTTTACTGTGCCTTGACAATTTGTTTATTTACTTTACTGCATAAATAATGAATTAATAATGCTGTAGTTATAAAAAAACAATGCTTTCCTTCTAATATCAATCAGGTTTCTGAGCTGTATCCAGCTCTTCTTGCAGATAGATAGTGGGACTCAGGGTGTGACCCAGCAGGTCACACAGAAAGTGGCCCAACATCTGATTGGCACCTCTACATGTGAGAACATAAAACTCCTCAACAGTGTGATCCAGGTAGGATTTTGTGTTTATTATCTATACTGGTCACTTGTTGCTCTTTTTCCTTTATTGACCAATCCAACTCCCCCATTGAAAAATATACAGTACTGTTCAAATGTTTGATGACGGTAAGATTCTTTAATGTAAGAAGTTTCTTTAAGAAGTCGCTTAGAAATATTGTGAAATATTTGAATTTAAAGTAACTGATTTCAATTTTAAAGGGGCCAACAGATGCCCATTTTTCACAAGTTAGTATGATTATTAAGGGTCTTCAATGTGAAGTTTGTAACATAATTTGGTTAAAATTCCTCAATGGTTGTGTAAAACAACACCATATTACCTCCTCAAAAACAGCTCTGTTCACATCGACTCATTTCTGTGCATGTCTCTTTAAATGATAATGAGCACCTGCTCGCCCCACCCCTCTCTTCCGTGGGGCGTGTCAACACAAGACATTAAAGTGCTGGATGCAATACTAAGGGCGAAAATATGCTAATAAGGGACAGTCCATCAGCCGTCGTGGGCGGAGCATGAGCGATATAACATCATATTGCTCCGAAAATCTAAACGGCCTGATTATTATTAGTCTTTAGGCTTTTTGAGGATTAATAAAAAAGGATTGAATGGATTTTTTTCATTGTATGATGGTTGTCCACACACTGCAAAGACACATTTAATGCAAACACCATATAAAAACACCATCCGATAACACCTTTAATATATTTTAAAATGTAATTTATTCCTGCGATGGCAGTTGCTTTTTTTCAGCAGCCATTCCTCCAGTCTTCAGTTTCACATGATCCTTCAGAAATCGTTCTAATATGCTAATTTGTTGTTATTTTCAGGATTCTTTGATGAATAGACATTTCAAAAGAACATTATTTTAATTTTTCAATTTTTTTTTTTTTTTTTACTTTATTGTCTTTACGGTCACTTTTGATCAATTTCATCTTTGCTTAATAAAAATATTATTTTCTTTCAAAAATATATTACTAACACCAAACTTAAGAATGGTAGTGTATAAAAATAATTGACATTTTAAATGTACAACCTTAAAAATCTTTATGGGTCATGAAAAGATCTTACTTGTCCTGCAGGCTCATATTCTGGAGAGCTCCAGGCCGGGGCGTGTTGGTGCAGTAGCTGTTCTTGAGTTCTGGCTTCAGGTTTTGACCGAACAGAACCTCTGGCATCGAGACAGAGCTGTTCTCTACCTTCTAGACCACCTGTGCCGTGCTGCATTTCTTCACCAGCAAGAGGAATGTCTCCAGAAACTTCTCTACCAACAACACAAGGTTTTTCATTCTTGGCTGATGTTTAAACAGCCTTCTTTTAACAAATAGGTGAATTAAAGCAAATCATTGACAAATGGTTTTATATGCTGTTTTTTTTCCTTTTAGAGTGCATTAGGTTATCATGGAGACAAAGGTTTGCTCTCATCTCTGATGGGCTGGATAGTGGCAGGAAATGTTACTCCATCCTTCATTGAGGGCAATTGTCTCACAGGAGAGGTTTGTGTAGGTTATTACTTATACAGCACATCTTGATCTAATTACTCTTAGGCTGCTTTCACAATAGCACTTTTGGTGTGTACCTGGGTTTGATTGACGTACATTTTCCGAACTTTGGTGCGCACCTGCAAACTTAGTCTGCTTAAAAAGGGAAGCCTGGGGTACGGTTCATGTGAACTCTGGTACTGTTCGCTCCTGATATGAATGCAATCATACTAAGTCGCTGAATCTAAATCGCTATGCGTTTTGCCACCCTCTGTGTTATTGTTAGTAAGCAACAGATGTGAACAGCTGCTGCTTTGACTCCAACACACCTCGGTACAGACCCAAATTATATAATGTGAATACAATTAGACGAGGGGAGGGGGAGCAATCAAACTCTGGTTTGGACCAGGAAATTGAACCATCTGTAAAAGCACCCTTTAGTCATCATGTCCCTCTCCATGTTTTTCTTTTGTCTCAAGGTATGGTTTGCTTGGTTGGTCTTAAACATGGAGGCAATGTTCGAGGAAGATTCTCAGCTGCAACGTTTTGTGGAGCATGAGCTCCTCTCAAACTCTGCTTGCACACCAGATCAGGCGCTGAAGGTACACATTCGTTCTTCTACAACCTTTGGTACAATATACAATGATACACACCAAATAGAGTGTTTTGAACACACCTGAAATGATCAGGGAATGTGAAAATTGTTTAAAGGGGTCCTATTATGCTTTTGCACATTTTCAACTTTAGTTAATGTGTAATGTTGCTGTTTGAGCATAAAAAAGATCTGCAAGGTTACAAAGATCAAAGTCCAAACTCCAAAGGGACATATTTAACACAATTCACTTTTCAAGAACTACAACGAACAGCTCGTTTGGACTACAACACGATTTTTCCAGATCTTAAGAAGTCACAATGTTACTCAATTAAAAAATTGTGCCCACGGAATATGCAAAAAAGGGGACGAGGCCTGGCTGAGCTGCACTAGAGATGAAGAGTGACACTGTTCCAGAACATTATAACCCCAGCGTTTATCTGTGTGCTGCGCATTTTATGGAGAACAGCTTTCTGTTTCTGTTTCTTTAGCTTTTACTTTTGTAAGATGGTAAGATCACTACTCCTTAGGAAAATTAACCATAAATTTGGGATCAATTACTGTTTGTATTACCTTAGTTTTCCTAACAAATATCAGAATTAAATGGTGGATAACATCATATTCGCTAACATTGTCAGGATCTGAATCGGGCTCGAAGTGGTTTGAAATTGACGCCATCCTCAGTATTTAGCTTGCAGTCATGGAGGGGCGATACAAGAGAAAACAAATGGTTTTCGTTAAGCTCTGCAAATCACAACACAATTAATATTTCGGAGATCGGGCCTTCATCGAAACCGGTGTGTTCGAGCCAGACTGGGGAGAGAGGTGCTGTAATTATGTAAAATATGTGAGAAATAATGTGTTTTTTTTTTTTTTTTAAATGAAAATGAAAACGCATCCAAAAACAAAATAAAGACTTCATAAAATGGCATAATAGAGACCCCTTTAAAAAACCATTTTTTTTTCACTTTGCTGGTGGTCTTTAGAGTAAAACTTTACTTTTGTTACGAAGCCCCTAAGGAGACATGGTGATGGGAAAAAATTGATGTAAGGAAACTCCCTAAACTCATATCCCATGTTCCCCTACTTATTCATTGAGGATCTTATTGGTGACATCATTAAATAAGCAATTTCAAAGATTAAAAAAAGTATCCATTAATGACTGGAAAGATAATAGATATTCCTTGGTTAATTGGTTTGGGATCCCTGTAAACATTTGTATTCATGGGTTTCAGTCACGTGACTTTTTTGTTGCGGCCGCCATCTTTAGGACCTTTGCGTAGCTGCGACAGTAGTTAGCTTCTCCTGATCGGAAAGATGTCGCACACTAAAATAGCACAGCACACCTCATTACAGATGAAAAGGTATTTAAATAAAATTGATAAGGTTTAGATCCGTGTTTACTTTCAAACGAACTGCTGACTTGTAAAAATTTGACGTTCGCTGACATTTACTACCTCGTCCACAATCCCTATCCATTCACCGGAAGGCATTTAAAAGCACTGAAGCCTACCGCTACTTCACCTCAGGTTGGGTTAATGATCCCGGAATCTATCATCTGGAGATGAAGAAAATGTTCTTGATAACAGGAAGGGTAAGTGGCACTCTTTTACTTGCTGGACATAAAAGTATTGTTGAAATAAATTGACCGTTCGCAAAAACCCGCCCCCCGCCATGTCCGATAAGCTCATTTATTTTTAGCACTCACAATATTTTAAAACATCTTTACTGAAAATGCATATGTACATTACATTTTAGAGTGTCAAAGTTATGAATTTCAGAAATGTAGACAAATCACTGTCTATTAATTTAAGGCAGAAACATTGAGCACAGCACATTTAGCCATATGTTTAACTAAGGTTACTGATGTAAATATAGATAGCTGTCTAGAATGACGTTATACGTGTTCCAATTGTAAAATATGTTTTATCAAGCTAATCTGTAATTTGCTAATTTTACTTTTATTTACATTTTCAGGTGAAGCATTCACAAAGCCTCAGTTTAACACCAACATACCACTGGATAACAGTACAGGAAGATGGGACAGTTCTCAGATATTTTGAAGAATGTCATCAACCAAACAGTAAACTGGAACCATTGACTTCCATAGTAGGAAAAAAAATTACCATGGAAGTCAATGGTTCCAGTTTGGTTACTGACATTCTTCAAAATATCTTCCTTTGTGTTCTCCTGTAGAAAGAAATGCATGCAGGTTTGAAACAACTTGAGGGTGAGAATGATGACAGAATTTTCATTTTAAAGTGAACTATTCCTTTAATGAAGTTCATATCTTCATTTAGTGTTATTTTTCAATCAGTAGTTTAAAATGCCTTTTTCAATAACATTCGGTTAAGTTACTATTTGTGAGCCGGGCACAGGGTTTCTGGTAGGAATAAATATTTGCACAGTAGAAATGCAGTTTGAATCTACAACCTAATTACCCATGTGGTTTATAATGTATATGGGATTTTTTATGAATGATTTGATTATTACGAATGATTAACAATAAACAGAATGAGAACAGAATTTTACTGTCACCTTTTTTTATTGCAAATATAAAACAGACTTCAGTTCATATAGTTATGTGTTACACTGGGATAACACAGACTGGGAACACAATGTTACGTAGTCTCTATTCTGAGGGCACAACAGATGGGCAAATGTTACACAAAGGGAGTCAGCCCAGGTCCCCCCTTTAGGAATCCCGACAAGAAGGTGAAGACGACCATCATCTTGGAATAGGATGGAAGTCCAGTTAAGTCCTGGACCATCTCATCATTGTCTAGTTTGAACACCTCCTGCTGGAAAGATAACTTGCTTACCCTGTCCCTAAGTTGATAGACCTCTGCCCTCAGTCTGGTACACTCTTCTGTCAGTTTCTTCACAGTTTCTCGACAGGCTTCATCGGAGCATGCTACACTGCTCTCAGTATGGATAGGGTCTTTACAGTAGCTGTGTTCCCCACTCTGCCCGCTCTCAGGAAAGCTGTCACTGTGGTCCATCTCATTGCCAGTATATTTACCATGGGGTAACATTGACACATCACTGGTACAACTTCTCTTCCTCTTGACAGCTTGTGTTTGCTCAAATTTCTTGTAGCAATTGGTTTTTCTTTGTCGTTGCTCAGGTGACAGGTAGGCAAACAGATTTGGCACATAATCGGGGTTCAGAGGATTATCACTTTTCTTGCCTGCAGTGGTATAATGAGACACCAATTAACATCACCAACTCAGAATTAGTGATTACACTTTTATGATAACTGCATGCTATTAATTATTAGTTAAGCATGAGTAAACAGTTAATACATAATTTTTTAAGCATTAATAGACAATAAATAGTTTATAAATACAGCTATAAATGCTTTTTACTTGATTTATAAACATATCTAGGCTATAATGTGTTTAATAATAGTATTTTCATTTTTTGTTAATGATCAATTTATCATTTCTAAATAAAGTATAGCATTATTTACAAACCAGTTATTTAAGAGTATTCAGTGATTCATAAGATCACAAAGTTTAAGTAAATGGAGTAAATTCAGGTAGATTTTATGAACAAACTAAGTATTACTGTTTGTCTCAATATAAGATGTATGAATGTGAATTTAAATACTTTTAAGTAATCTTAGACAACTCCATTGAAAACTCTTAAATAGCTGGTTTATAAATAATGCAATATTTCATTTAGAAATGATAAATTGGTCATTAATAAAGTAATCAAGAATAAAGCATTTATAGCTGTATTTATAAATTGCTTTTTTATAACTATTAATGACTATTAATGCTTTATATGTGATGGAATATCCATTTACTAAAGCCTTAGTAAAGTTTTACCGAATTAGTTAGTCTAAAAGTGGATAAATTAACGTTAACATAACGTTGATACACAGATGACGATCAAGTTATTTTGTTAGAAAATGTAAGCCAGTTACAAATTACCTAATTGAATTTATCTGCAAAGGCAAGGAACAGGTGCTAATGTTACAACAGTTCACGTTTGCAAACCATGTTGCAAACGATTAGCTTACATTCCTTACCTGAAATAAAGTGCTCACTGCAGAGTCTGGAGTGTTCTGTCTCCAGTTATCCCTCTTGATAGCGCGAAATCCATTTCTTACAACGTTCAGGGTTTTTGGGAATGTTATTAAATTTTAGTTTATCATTTCTTTGTGATTTGCTGTTGTCACAGCTTACAGCACTGCAGATAGACGGCACGTTAGCAATCGCGATTCGGTCCTACAAATGGCGGCCGCGCCACTGTGTGACGTCACATGAAATCCATGAATACATTAATGCAATAAACATACATTTTATTAGCCCAATTGTTTTCGTTTTGTCAGAAAGCCCAGGTGCGTCTCAAGCTTCAGGTCGTCCCGTCCCTGCAGAGGTTGATGATCTATCGCTGGGCTCAACAGGCTTTAGCTACCCCTGCAGATCATCCACTCCTGCCTTTAGTGTGGCAGAAATTCCTCCAGCTTTACCTCCGTCAACCTGGACCAGAGTTTGGGTACGTTAAACATGGAGACTTTCTATCCTTTTTAGATAACTGTTATTTAGTACCTATTGTTTTGCTAAGTTTTAAATGATCTGGCTTCTTAAAGTAAATATTTCCAAACTTTACAATCACCATGTAAAGTTTCAGTTCACTTAAGTCTAATTGTAACTTGTTACATAATGCATGTTGGATTCGAAGTTCATGCAGTATTCTACTAAAATTGTTCACATTGTTCCTCATTGTTCTTGACTCATGAGATTAATGTTCTCATGAAGCTTTTTCACTGTCATAACTCTCTTTTGTCTATCATGTGTTGTACAATGGCACAGATGCATTTCACTCCCTGTGTTTGTCAATATAAGATTATTTTGTATCTGCAAAATGTCAGTTTTATTACATGGCTCTCTGAAATACACTTCAAAGTCCTTTTCCTTTACCATAATAAAATAATTTCAGCTCAAATCGATATTTTATGCATTTATTATTTTCATAATACTGTGACCCACTTGGAGTTTTAATTTTCAGTAATGACCAGATGACTGTATACTTTACTTTTTACATTACTTAAAGTAATGTATAATATTTGAGTTGTGAACTGCATATGTGGTACAGTTTGTATGATTATGGGTATTTCTGAACCCTTGTCTCTGTTGTTTTATTTGGCACCATCAGGCTGGAGGTGAAAGGTTGTATTGGGAAGCGTTATTTCCATAGTGTGGCCCATCTCTCTTTGCTGAAGAGCCTCAGACAGCGACTGATTGAGGTGTCTGACTTCCACCATGCTGCTAGCAAGGCTCTGAAAGTGCCCTCTTTGAAAGGTGAATCCAGTGATGGTTTGCTCACCCCCGGGACACCCATCACCCAGTACATGACCTCTCCTGAGCTGCACACTGAGCTCGTGCGGTAATGTCCTGTGTTTTATTCTCTCAGCATCCATTATTCTGTTTAATGTCCTATTAAGTGTTGAGTGATTCTGACATCGGAAAGAAACTTGATATTGTTTCCAAGCTGTTGTTTTTCATGTCAAGTTAAAATATAAAGATATATTACAATATATATATGTTTTTAAATGTCAAACTCTTATTGTTCAGGCTCTTCAATGTGTTTGCTTTGTGGTTGGATGATGAAAACCTTCAGAAGCAGGAAATTTTCTTGCCCTCTTTGCCAAAGCAGTACGATGCCCATCGCCTAGCCAAAATCATGCAGCGCCAGCAGGTGAGGATTTGTTCATGGATGTTTTGGTCTTTAAGAGGACTGTGAACTGATTTTGTCTAATTTTTTATTTAAAGCAATCCCTTCCAATTTAAATATAAAATATCAAGCTTTATATTTGTAACAAATCTTTTTTGTAATGTTTTTGAAAGAAGTCTCTTATGCTCACCAAAACTCACCTTTTATTTGATGAAATATATGGCAAAAACTGAATTTACACAAAACATTATGAATTAAAGCAAGGTCTGTGTTTATTCATCTTAAGGAGGTGTGGATGGAGCATGTGGACATTGAGCGAGTCCAGCATGAGCTGCAGGAAGTGCTCAGTCTGTGGTCAAAGGTCAAGCGTGAACCCGTACTTTCCCAGAACACCAACTCCTCCAACTTTATTGACTTCATCAATCCTCTGGCTGGTACTGAGCCCACTTTCCACTAATAACCATATTCTGATATCTGGACTCTCTAATTTATTAGTCAAAATATGAGGGAATGCTACAGTTTGCATCAGGCATATTTAAATAATTTAAATTTTGTACCTTTTTCAATAAATATATTTCTTAACTATTCTTTTGCAGCAAGGGAACGTATTCTCACTCACTTGAGAAAGCATGTTGCCCCCCAGGGGGCACTGTTGCTCATGCCTATGAAAGCTCCAGTGCCTGACATTCCCACTGAAAGTCTGTCTGATGAGAAAATTTCAACTACCTTAATTCAGGAAGACCTTGCTAAGCTCCAACATCAAGCCAAGTAAGACTCAATACATGAGCAATTAGTTGTTTTGAAGCATTTATTTGTTGAAATTATTCCGCTCAAATTATTCAATGATAAGATGTTTTGCTGAATTATGTTGTAAATCATGACTGTGTCCTCTTCTCAGGTTGGCAACGGTCCGGGAGACGCAGCAGGTGGCTCTAGACAATGAACTGTTGGAGGTGTTGCCTCAGCTCTACATAAACCGGGAAGAACAGCTCTCAGTGCAGTTAGAGTGCCGTGGCAAAGGTGGACAGCCCTGCCAGGGACCCGCACATGTCACTGTTAAGGTGAGCACGTATATCTGTTATTTCTGTACTTCTGCTCTGTGCTATTCGTAAGGTGTACTTTTTTTACCTCGTTAAAAGGATTTGTGTATAAAGATACAGTATTATTACATTTAAGACTTTATTTAAAATATTGTACAATCACATGAGATGAAAGCTTTAGTCATATTAAGGAGCCAAATTAAAGGGTTTTTTTTTATGGCAGAGGTGCCTAATCCTGTTCTTGGAGATCTAACTGAAGCCCATAGTATACTTCGGCCATTCACGTCCGTGCACAGTTCGCCTGACATCATTTTCTTCATCAGGATGGTCCGCGGTCGTCCGCACACCTCGGTGCACGTACAACAGCGCATGTGCGAGTGACTTGAGCGCTCAAAAACAGAATCCAATAGCTCACGGCCAAAGGAGCATACTTTGAAAGGCTGGCACACTCAACTGTGCGCCATGTTGAAATCACATGACCCACTGAACACTTTATCGTGGTTACCCACATATTATTGGACACTTTTGATTGTGTAATTATCATGACTGACTGCAATTAGCATATTTCTACAGTGAAACTCCACGCCACATCCGCATACATCCACGCCAATAGGTGTCCTTGAAGGATGGAGCGGGTCCAATAAGTCCCTGATTAATTTTAGTTTTTGAATTTAAGTAAATATATATATACACTGAATAAAATTATAAATGCAACACTTTTGTTTTTGCCCCCATTTTTCAACTCAAAGATCTTTCTTTATACACAAAAGGCCTATTTCTCTATATTGTTCACAAATCTGTCTAAATCTGTGTTAGTGAGCACTTCTCCTTTGCCGAGATAATCCATCCACCATCACTGGTGTTGCATATCATGATGCTGATTAGACAGTATTTTGTGCTGTGATTTTTGGTTTTGTCACAAACAAATTTAATATCCACCAGTTTGCACAAGCATGTTCCAGTCCCACTGTAAACTGGGATGTTCAAATCCAGCCTGTGTCCAAATCCATTTCTCTTATCTCTCCCTAAAAAATATTGTCTTTTCTCTGTATTAATGTCAAAAACAATTTTGGCAACTACCCCAAAATTCTACATTTCCATGAGCTTTCTCTCCCTTTCATTGTTTGTTGCAGTACTCAACAATGCACAAACTGGATCCAGTGCAGAATCAGATCCAGTGCCTGAAGAGTGATATTAAACAGCTCCAGGCTGATGGAATCAAAGCTCCTCCTCAAAGTCTGGCTGAGGCGGCCGTGCACACCGAGAACTTTATCACGTCAGTAGCCACTCAGCTCTTTCCACGCTTTCTAAATTTGTGTCACTAAAATGTAACCATCACGTTTTCTTGTTTAGGGCTTTGGTTAATGCTTACAAACTAAATACATCCCCTGGCATACTGAAAGTGGGCATCGCTGCATTCTATCAGATAGTGTCTTTTGTTTGTGAGGACACACAGAGACATCCACCCACTCGCCAGTTCTTCACGTCCTGTATTGAGATCCTGGGTCAGGTATCGGTTTCAGGAGAAATTTGTTACATTATTTCAGCCTTAATTTCAAAACTTTTTTCCACTTACATTTTATGTAATACAGACTATATTAAGTGTGTCTTTTGACTATAGGTTTTTATCCGGGACGTCCAATCAGAATGTAAACACATGCTGAAGACCATCCTGCTCAACAGACAATTATGTAACCTGCTCTCACCGTATTTCACCCCAAACGCCTCCCCTGCAGAGCTGGTCTCTCTGTACGAGGAAGTGGTCAATACCCTTCACATAGACAGCGGTGATGTCATATTCATGCTCCTCACAAAAGTAATTTGCCTTCATTGAAAAATGCTTTCAATGTTTCTCAGACAAGTTGCATTTGAAACTATTAAATGATACAAAGAATTTGTAAAAAAAAAAAAGAAAAAAAAATCTTACAGAGATTTGGAGGAAGCACTGTTTTGTTCAGAATTATGTGAAGTAGTGCTGTCATATCCTTTAATAGGATTGGATTTCGTTGGCATATTCCCAAATTATTCCTGTTGTTGTGCAGCATCAAAATCGTCTCATTTAATTGTATATGATTTCTGCTGGATCCTTCTTGTGGCCCTCTGAGACTTTGATTGCTCTACTTTTTGCTCTTGAATGTGCAGCTCACATTTGCATGTAATAATCTGTTCTGTGCTTCTAGTTTGACTTGACTCAGTGGCTGTCGGCGACGCAGCCTCTGTTCTCTGAGCGCAGCCGGCTGATGGCAATCATCCATCAGGCTCTGTGTATCTGTGGGCTGGAACCTGAGGCAGAAGTCCTCATGCCCTTCAACATCTTCTGCAAGCACTGGAATGAACTGCTGCTTTACCAGTTTCCAGACCACTACAGTGACTTTCTTCGTCTACTCATGCAGAGTATGACTTTCCTTTTCTTTGACCGAGACAAATTAGTTTTTTGGAATTGGTTGGGTCTATGTTGTATTTTCTCATCACCTCAGACAAACAGTTATTTTATTTTATTATACTTACAAATCTCAGATTTTCGGGTCACTATTATT